CTTTAGTAGAGGTTGAACAGAGCTCTTACAGTGTGTGACACTTGTGTCAACTTACTTGGACATGTATGTTCTTATATCTCAGAGAGGAAGAGAGAACTAAAGCAGGGTCCTCGGTACCTCAGACCTGTCAGGGTCACTACATTGTATCATGCTTAGGATCCTTTTGGAATTTTGGAAACTTTAGCTAAAAAGTTCATGTCTAGGTCATTTGTAACCAGGATGTAACTAGCTCTCATTTTGCTAATCTAGTAGCTTTATATGCCCCAAAATTGAAACATAAATGTTGATGATAAATCATCTATAAGTTGTCTTTTGATATGAAAACACAAGGGTTTAGGCTGACATTGGGATTTAACAATATTTTAATTTTGCATTTACCCAAGATCGAGTGGAATTGAACAAAGTTTCTTGTTTAGCGACTATTGTGTTTTGTGAAGGGCCTTCTCTTTTCTCTTCTAGAGTGTTCTTCTCATATTGACGTGCAGCTCTGTACATAAGTGTACAAGTCCCACTGTTGGATAGATTCATTGCAGTTCTTTTCCCAGTTTGGCACTTTCTTTCTTGAACTCTTAATAGGACCTTGCATCAAATACAGATTTCATTTTCAACGTCATTCATCATTTCTGGTTTCTTTAATGCCTTCCATGCCTCAAAATGATTGGCAGGTCTACATTCATCAATTTATTTTCATTTTAAAAGCCTTAATTTGTTCATATCATGACTTAGATCTGGAATGCAACTTGAGCTGATTTCCTCTACAATATAATATAATAATCATTCATTTTTTCCAGGAATCGCAGTTGATTAAATAATGCTGACTAAGGCGTCAGTCCTCTGCTTTACTGAGGTGTCCTTTGTTGCAAATTTAGTGGCCATTGTTGTGTTGATTTGTTTCTGAACTCTGTTCTGGTTAATTGGCTTTTTGTAGTATTTTGGCAATACCATGCTCACTTAATTACCATGACTTCAGATAACCAATTCTACCATAGTATTCATCCAGTTTTGGTTTTCTTCTATTCAATCGTCCTGTCTACACTGGGCTTGGTAGCACACCATGGATACCTGTACCAGCGAGGCTTAAGTTAGCCTGGGCTATATAGGGAGATCCTGTCAGAAAAAAAAGAAAGAAGGAAAGAAAGAAAGAAAGAAAGAAAGAAAGAAAGAAAGAAAGAAAGAAAGAAAGAAAGAAAGGGAGGAAGAGGAGGAGGAGGAAGAGGAGGAGGAGGGAGGAGGGAGGGAGGGAGGAGGGAGGGAGGGAGGGAGGGAGGGAGGGAGGGAGGGAGGGAAAGAGAGAGAGAAAGAGAGAGAGAAAGGGAGGGAGAGAAAGAAACAGAGACAGAGACAGAGAGGGGGAATGGAAGGAAGGGAAAGAGAGAGAGACAAAGGAAGGAAGGAAGGAAGGAAGGAAGGAAGGAAGGAAGGAAGGAAGGAAGGAAGGAAGGAAAGAAAATTTAGCTTAAATACATATACACACACATCATATATGAACATGCACACACACACCCCATACACCATACAATGCACAGTGAGTTTAATTAGAACTGAGGTAATCCTGTCATCTAATTTCAGCTAAATTGGCATCTTCCCATTCATAAACACAGTATAGTCTTCAGTTTAATTAGAATTTCTCTGATAATTTTGAATGGTATGAGGCATTTTCCTTGAGCTAGCACCTCCACTATAGTGCTGAATAGATGTAATAATTAGTAGGCATCTTTGTCCCTTTCTTTTTTAATTAATTGATTAATGAATTAATTTACTTTACATCTCAATGGCAGCTTCCCCTTCCTCCTTCCCTCCCAGTCTTTCCCTCTCCTTTTCCCTCCCCATCCTCCAGTTAATCTCAGAAAGATACATTGTTGTAAGTTAATAATAAATATAAAATGATTATTAACCATAAGATATAGTACAGTTTATTGAGACCTTTAGCAGAGTCAGAAAACTGCTTCATCTCTAGGTTACTTAGTGTTGGTTTCTTGTAAGCAGGTATTTAATTTTATGAGCTGTAACCTGATTCTATTAGAATGATAGTGATTGTTCTTCTTTATTCTTTAATGTGTAAACTTCCATTACAATAATCCTTATGGAAATTCATTGCTTGGCTATAACATTATTTATAAGTATGGAAAGGTGTGCTAATTATACTGGTACCGTTCAATGAGTTTAAAGTAACCACCCTACATAAACTAGTACCCAGTTGATCAATAGAACAAATAATTAGCCAGGCCTTCTTTCACATACTTCTTCCAATGTATGCGAATTTCTGTTGTTAGGATTAAGTTAAAAAAGACCAGACTCCAAACAGCACAGTTCAGATTTCTGTTACCATGGGGACATCAAGAGAGTACGCAGAATGCAAGTTCACAAATCACCATGTAGGTACCAGATCTCACAAAAAACTGTGGCCAGACAATCACTTCTGGGGCAGCATGCTGATAGCAAACCATATAATTGTACTGCCCATTCCTACCACAGAGCTACGCCCATGTGGCATCTTACAGTATTTGCTTCTTTAAAAAGATACCCGGCCAACAAATGTGAAATAAACAGAGGAAGTGGTAGCTCTTGAAACTACCATTAACTTTAAACAAATCTATGGGGGAAGATAGGGAATTCCAGAAATACTGACCCTTGCTACAAATTGTTAATAGAAAAGGAATAGCCGTGACAAGTAGAATGAAGATGCCCCTCACTAGGTAATGCTGCCAAAGAAATGGGACACTTAATGGTTTTTAAAGTTGTAAATCAAAGTAGTATTGTTTACCCCATAACTAGCAGTAAGATAATTTGTTGATGTTTTATATAAAATTTATAAAGACCTAGAAAAAAAATCATTGCATTTTTCCCCCATTGATTACTAAGTCCAGCTTGCAGGTTTTAAAATACACTGTAAGATCTGCAGTTCCACATTGCTATGCCAAATGATGAGAACTGACGACATTTTATCAAAGACTTTTTCAAATATATTCAAGGAAGAGATTGATTATAATTTTCTCTCTTGTGCTGTCACGATGTTTTGATATTTTAAATCTGATAACTTCACAAACATGACGGGAAATAGTCATTCGTTTTTCCATTCTTATCAAGGGTTTATGAAAAGTGTGTGATGCGTAATTTATAACCATTCAGAAAAGCTACCTGAGCCTAGTGATTTTTTATTAGTAGTGTATACATTGCTGAATCAATTGCTAGTTAATTTTTTCAATAGATTTGTGGTTTAAATTTTTTTGTATGCTATCAGGCCCATGACCTCAGTAGCCCTGGAAAGTGGCTTGGTTTCCAGTATCAGATAGTTTTCCCTTTTTGAGTGAGCCTAAAGTTCAGTTAGACACCAGCACATGAATACCACTTATTGCACCCTAAGAGATTTTAACCATACTGAACATTGTCATTCATAGGTGTTGCAGCTGGGTAAGACAGTTTAACTGCTTCCCACTCCTGGTAGCTTGGATAATATATTTTACTACCGTAGCTACTAGGCCAGAAGAGAGAGGTTCACATCAGGTCAAAGACAGTTTGAATTATCAGAGTCCTGTGCTCAATCACTGTCCTATGTGTTTTCAATGTTTTCAGCACTAGCACCCCTCTCTCAGTTCCTGAAAGCCAACCAAAGCCTACATCCTTAGTTTATATTGTTGACTTGGTCTACATTGACCAACCATTCAAAACGAGGCATCTCATCCTTGATACGAGGGTTTTCCTTAGTTTTTTAAAAATATTTTCAGCTCAATTGGTATAACTTTCTATAACACACACACACACACACACACACACACACACACACACACTTACATATGTCACTATAACTTTCAGTGAATATGAAATAGTAATAAAAACACCTCCTTGAGGCTCCTTGGTGTGATTCATCACTCATCCTTCCTCTGTCTTCACTTTTGTCCTGCCTCCCCAGTTGAAACCCCATCTCTGTTTTTTCCATTTCTTACTTCATATCACCCATATCCTGCTAGTCCCCTCTCAAGCCCACCCCACTCTTGTTTAGGTTCCCTTTATATTTTCTTGGTTTCTATGGTTACATCATGCTCTGTATTTGCTCCTGAGGATTTTGAGCTCGGAAGTGCAGTTGAGAGAGAACATGCAGCACTTGTGATTCTGAGTCTGTGCCATCTCACTCAATAGAATATAATCTTTTTGAGGTCCATCCATTTCCCTGAAAACTTCCTGACTCCGTTGTTCTTTTCAGCTGAACAATATTCCATCATGTTGATGTAGCGTATCTTCATTATTCATTCATGCATTGAAGGGTTTAGGTTACTTCTAATCCCCTGGCCATTGCAAATATGGCAGCTATGAACATGGATGAGCAAAGATCTGTAGAGTAGCATGGTGAGTCTTCAGGCATATATCAAGAAGTGATCATAGGGTAGGTTTATTTTACATTTTATGAGTACCCTGCTTACTGATTTCCAGAGTGTCACATTCTCAGTGACAGTGAACCAGGTTCCCTTTCCCCTCAGCCTCCCTGGAGTTGGTGGTCGGTTATCTGGTTGGTCTGAGCCATTCTGACTCTGCATAGGTGAGATATCAATGTTCCTTTAATTTGAATTTCCCTAATTGATAAGCATGGTGAATACCCATTTTCAATTGGGTTATTTGTTTCCTGGACTCTGTGTTTTTGAGTTCTTTGCATATTGAATATTAATCCTTTCGGATGTGTAACTGGCAAAGATTCTCTCCCATTCTGTGGATGTCTTCTGCATTCTGTTGTCTCTTTAGCTGTGCAGTTGTCTCTTTAGCTGTGCAAAAGCATTCCCTATCTGCCCAACAGATAGAGAACATGCATTCTTCATAACAGCTCACAGAGATTTCAACAAAACTGAGCACAGAGGTCCCAGTTGTCAATTGTCTTTAATTCTTGGGCAAATGAAGTCCTGCTCAAGGAATCTGATCTTTATTGTAACATTGGCTTATTTATAAATTATGTGGCCTCATATGTTTTATATTTAAACATGTACTGTTTGTGACATTGAATTTTATGTAAGGATTAAGGTAGTACAACAGCTTAAAGTTGTTTTCTAATTTATGTGAACATCTTTTGAAAAATACTACATTTTATTTCATTAACTAGGATAATACCGTGTGTGTGTTGTTAGCTTGCAATTAGTGCTTCTAGTATTTTAGTATACCAAAACAAACAAACAAGCAAACAACAACAACAAAAACTCATGCCTTAGGATCTTTAACCACCACTAAACAATCAATTGCAAGGAAGTTAATTCCCAACATTGACTCCCAATTTGGGAATGACTTTCCTGTTTTCTGTGTTTCTTGGATGCAGTGTTAAAGATGCTAGCATGGCAGCTCTCACATCCAGTAGAGTAGTGAAGAAGATTAAGAGGACCACAACATATTGCTTCATGTGATAAATCTTTATAGCCCTAATATCATAAGACAAATGGATGGTAAAAGGTATAAAAAACCATGTCTAGACATAATGATAAGGAAGAATTGAATATATCACTCTAATATCTACAAAGCTCAAAGCTCTTTCAAATAAAAATATCAACAAAGGAATCTGAGGGATAGATTACACCACAAATTGATTAGAGTTAACAGTTTTCTACCCAATAGATAGGGAATATGCATCTTCACAACACCACACAGAGCTTTAGATAAAACTGAGCACATTATAAGACATAAAACAAGCAGTAATAAATATTTTGAAATCAAAATAGTTCCCTATATCTTATCAGTATATTAATACTACATGTCAACAGTATTAATAATCTCTGAAAATGTGCTTTAAATATTTTAAAACTAAACAGTACACTTTATAATGAACAGTAAGTCATTGAAAAATTCAAAGAAAAAATGTGAATTCCTGTAGTAAAATGAAAATGAAAGCAGAATCTAACAATATCTGAGATACAGACAAGACAGTTCAAATAGGAAAGCTTACAGTTATTTAAGTTCAGACATTAAAACAGAAAAAAACTGTAATAAACAACCTAATGATGTACCTCAAAGCTCTAAGAAAACAAGATGTTAAAGCAAAATGCAGAAAGTACTTAAATAAATAAATAAATAAATAAATGTCAGAGCTAAAGGAATAATGCATAGAGTCAGTCAGAGAGTTTGATCTTTGAAAAGATTGACAAAGTTGCCTAACATGTAGCCAAACTAACCAAATGAAAGAGAAAACAGATTCAATTTAATCAAATTAGAGACAGAACATGAGTTGCAAGACTCCTATGAAATCCAATAGACCAGGTCATACTTTTGCACACGTATATGAAATTATAGAAAAATATTTATTTTTTAAATGTGTACAACATAACAAAATTAAAGATAAAAGCTATAAGCAACCTAAATAGGTTCACAAAATGAAAGCAACTAAAGAAGCAATTAAAGGTCCCTTCACAAAGAGAAGTCCAGGACCAGGCATGGTTATGACTGAGTTCTATCCAACTTTCAAGGAAGGGCTCCAGCCCTTTTCAAAGCTTTCCACAAGATAAAAAGGAAAGGACCAAACTCATTCTAGGAGCCCTTTCATGCCTAGGAGCTCATTTCTAGGACCCAGATACCCCCCCAAAAAAAAATAATAAAGACAAAAAAACAAATACTGTAAACCTTTCCATCATGATTATAAATCTAAATTTTTCAACAAAATACTTGCAAACCAGATAGAGATAACTAAGATCAAACATCATGACCAAGGTGGTTTTATTCCAGAAATCCAAATATTAGTTCAATATATGCAAATCAATAAATATAACTTATTGTATGAAGACCTAAAGACAAAATGCCACAATTTTGATGCAGAAAAGTGTCAGCTACGCCAGCATAGCTGACTGAGTTCCTTGGATCGGCAGAGGGCTGAGGGCGAGAGAAAGAAAGACAAGGAGTCATCTGATAAAGAACCAAATGCTGTATTTTCAACTGCATAGCTCTCTTTTATACTCCCTACAAAACAGGAACACAAACAGGAACAGGAATAAAAACAAGAACAAGGATCAAAACAGGAACAAGGAGATACACTTGGCAGCCTATCACCTAAGTTTGGATTTCTCCTTGAGCAGTCTTCACAGGGAAATGCATAGAGATGGAGGATCGGGCATAACAGCACAGGTGCAGAGGATGGTGACTCACAGAAAAGACATTGACAAAGTTCAATATGACTTGATGATAAAAATCTGGAAGAAAGTATGATTAGAAGAAATGTACCTAAACATAATAGAAGCAATATGTGACAAAATTATAGCCACTATTACACTAAATAATGAAAAGCTGAAACCAAATCTGGCATGAGACAAGGGTCCCTACTCTCTCCTCTATTATTCGATGTAAAACTAAAGTCTTAGGTTGGAAACAAGAGGAAGATATAAAATGGATAAATATTAGAAAGGAAGAGGTCAAATGCAAGCATGGAGTCCACTCAAAGCACTTCTGGATCTGATTATGGCTTCCAGTAATATAACAGGTTACAGAATCAACATATAACAACCCATAGCTTTAGTGTATCCCAACAATAACCAATTTGCTGAAAAAGAAATCAGGAAAATAATCCGTTCACAACAGCCTTAAAAATAAAATCTATACATAAACCTCACAGAGGAGGTCGAGAGCTCTATATAAGGAATCCTTTAAGACCCTCCATGCTCCTGGATTAGAAGAATAGAATAAACGATCTAAAAATAGCCATTCTATCAAAATCAGGGTATATATGCATTGTTCACCCTTAAGATTCAAATGACATTCTTTACAGAACTATAAAATAAAATAGCCCTAAATTCATATTGAATCATAAAAGACCATCAATAGCCAAGGGAAACCTTTTTTTAAAAGATCAGTTTTGAGATTTATTTCATTTTACTCTATGAGTGGTGTGGTTTGCCCACATTTATGTCTGTGCACCACATGTGTACCTGGTACACAAAGAGGGCAGAAGTCAGATTCCCTGGATCTCCAGTTGCAAGCAGTTGCTAGCTTCCTTTTGTGTGCTAGGCATCAAACTTGGGTCCTCTGGAAGAGCAGTCAATCACCAACTAGTTATTGTAACCACCAAGCCACATCTCCAACCTCCAGAGCAACTCTAAGTAGGATGAACACACCTTAAAGCATCATATTACTTGAGCTCAAACTATACCACAGAGACACAGTAAACAAAGAAATAAACAAGGATGGACAGGCACAAAAACAACCATCTAGACCAATGGAACCAGAGACACAAGATTAACCTATAAAGCTATGGACACATCATTTTTGGTAAATAAGTAAATCAACGCATTCACTAGAGAATGTCTTTTTCAACAAATGATTTGGATATGCACTCACAGGGGAATAGTCTTGGCTATGCAGGACTGCGCATCGGCAGAGTGGTCTTGGTTGTGCTACATATGTACCCATGTGCACCTGCAGGGCAATATTCTTGGCTATGCTAGATGTGCACCCACAGAGCACTGGTCTTGACTGTGCTGGATGTGTACTCCCAGAGGAAATTAGATTCATGTTTCTCACACTGAACAAAAATCAATTCTAACTTGGTTAGAGAACTTACTCTAATACCAAAAGTCACTAAACCTGTTGAAAAAAAACACTTCAGGACTTAGGTGTGGGCAGAGAATTTCAGGGTAGAATTCTAGAAGCACAGGAATTAACCCCATCTCGATTGACGAGTGGAGTTAAACTGGGGCTTCATAGCAAAATAGGCTGTCCAAGAGTGAGCAGGCAGCCTGAAGAATGGGAAGAACCCTTGCTAACTGTACTTCAGAATGGATGTTATTATCGAGATTATTTAGAGAACTATGAAAATAAAACATGTTTAAAAAACACCTCCAATTAACAAATTGGCCATTTACCTAGATAGAGATTTTTTTAAAAAAGAAAAACTATAAATGACCAATAAATATTTTAGAAAATATCCAACATCCTCATCCATTCATGTAATGGAAATTAAAACTACCTTGAGATTTTATCTCACCCTAGTCAGAATGATTATTATCAAGAAAATAAACAAGTAGACGAGTGTGCCTACTGTGGGAATGAGTGTAGGGGCTTCTCAAAAAAGGAGAGGATCACTCAGTTGACATGTGACCATGAGGACTAGAGTTCAGAGCTCCAGAACCCAAATAAAGCAAGGTGCAATAGTATCTGCAGTCCTAGAATGCTTACAGAGAGGAGGGATGGAAAGAGAAAGGACTCCTCAGATGTGTATGGCTCAGCTACCATGCCTCATGCAGTGTTGATAGGATACAGTGTCTCAAACAAGGAAAAGGTGGAGTGTGGAGTCCCAGTAAGTTTCACAGCCAGCAGTGAGACAGTCTGCAGAGAGGCAAGGGTGAAGCTTGATTCAACACAACTTAGCCAGACAAGATTCTGAGGGATTTGTTGTTTACATGTGTAAACACAGTAAATCCTTGGGGGTGAGGGGGGTAGTTTTCTCCTGGCAATCATCATAACAAAGTGCACAGTGTGACTACGTCAAAGCCCCCTTATAAAGTACAAGTCTTTCACAGAGCACATGTGATTTCTCCCACAAGAATGGGTTCTCTTAACTGAGAAACAGTGCTCTGGATGAGGGGCTAGAAAGGAAGTGTTTGTCATAAGCATGGATGATAAACTCTTTTGCAAAGTACAGGAGACCTCTTTCGTAGGATGGTTCTATTGACTGAGACACAATGCTCAGGAATCTGGGGGATTCTGGGGATTCTGGTGAGGGCTGGCTCTACATAATAGCAAAGGATCACCAGGTTATTAAACAAGACCCACTCCAGCCTTCCAGATGGACAGGCATCACCTTCTTCCACTGAAGAAAAAAGTCTGCACCTTTAACAATTCTGGTTTCTTTGGTAATTTCTGTAAGCATGTGGGCCTCGTGCCCTCTACAGATGAGGACCAACCCTCAAGGTCCTCATCTGACCTCCACCGGCATATCATGCACACGTGCAGCCACGCTCATACAAGAATCCACTGGGGGAAAAATCATGCATGCATGTAGACACCCACACACTGGGAAATATATATTAAGGGTGGTAACTTGGGCTCAGAAAGACAAACGTTCTTTCTCA